AAAATTGGAAAAAATTTCCAAATCCCTAACCCGAAGCCCCCAGTTACAGTTGGCCTATCATACTATCAATTTCCTCCATAAGATAATGTAACATTTCTATAAAATAATTCATCTGGAATGTAATATTAGAGTATGTTACTTCTAAACCATTGAATGAAAGCCGGCCTTTAGATAGAGTTGACATGGCAATCTTCATCCTATAGGTATGGAGGTTAAATATCTAGTCCATGGGTATTGGCTGATTGTTAGGATGGACAATTGTCATGAACCAGGACACTTTGCCTTATATGACATTGAACAACCCCTTCTGGCTAAAACTCATTTTGTCGGCTTCCAGTTGGCTCTGTCATACAACAAGCATTCTTACAACCTTGACAATAGCAGAGAGAGAACTAGTATAGTTCTATGGCTAAACCTAACCTCTATCTTCCCTTATGCCAAGCACTGTAAGTATAGATAGCAGAGGGCTATTGTATGTTAAGTCTAGGATAGGGTGGTCCAAAAGAGAAACAAGGAAATCCAGTATGCTTTGGTCTAGTTGTTATATGATAGTGGTATCCTGGGGGGGCTGTAGGAGATATTGACGTAAGACCTTCAAGCAGTCTATCTGGTCTATTGTCCATACCACAATGGGCTTGTCGCTATTGTCCCAGTTATATACCTGGAAAATGTGCCCCAACAAACTCTTCCATACACTAATGTAACGGTCCATCATATGATGTTCAAGGCAGGGCTTAAATGGCTTGTTTGGCTTTCTGTCCATAGCTTTCTGGTTGATCTTAAACAGCATTGTAATCCCAACCTCTTCATACAAGTATGATTCCTAGGCTTGAAGGACAAGCTGGTGGAGGCTTTCCTAAGTAATAGTAAGCATCTTGGCTAGCTTCCCATCCTTTTCTTGAAGCCAGCCATCAGTTGCTCTTAATAATGTTGTATAATATAGCCTCTCTGCCTTAAGGTCAACAAGATGGCTTGCCTAACCAGTATGATTTAGCCATGGGCTTGGGGCTAGCTTTCCTTCATTTTCAAGAATGGTTGTTGTATGGTGTTGAAGTTGGGAATACTTCAAGTTGAAGGAAGAAATAAGCCTCTCATCTTGGTTGTGTTGTTATTGTGTAACAGCTGTGTGTGCAGAAGGAAGAATAACTTCAAAGAGTGCTGAGCCATGTCGGCCCTGGAAGAACTGTTGACATGGGACACCTGATCTCCATGGCATGTCATGTGGTTCTGACCCTTTGATTTGGTGACCTTTTTGTTTGGGTTGACCCAATTGTGTATCATGTGACAGTGTGTCTGTATCTTCTGGACATTACAGACAATGTATGAGCAAGAGTTACACTTTAATCCATCTAACAAAGGTGCTTGAAGAAGATCAATTGCTAAGATAGGTTCCTTTGGGACTGTGAAATTTTGAAGCTCTTGTTGGTTGTTCCATAGGGCTGTTGAATCTTTGCAGGCTCTGATAATATCTACCCTTTTTGAAGCTGGGAGAGATTTGTGTGTCGTACGAAGGTGAGTTGTAATCTCATCAACTGGAATAGCACGTTTACATAGTTTGCAAACAAGAAGGTGAAATGGAAGAAGGACAATAAAAGGCTCCATCTCTAATGTGGTGAGATTTGGAAAGGGGAGAAGATTGCCATTTGATCATGATATTGAGATGGCTTGAAAATGCAGGTCTCAAAGTGGCACATGCATAGTCATGTGAGTGGCTGTGCCAATAGGTGGGTGAGTGGCTTTGCTAGTGGCTGGGCCTGCACAGGGCGCAATGCCAAGATAACAGGGGGTCACCCCATCAAAACCACCCAAAACATACCCAAACTTCAACATTCATTATCTCAACCTATATAGATCGCACAAGCCTGAATCTTGGAGAGGTTATAGATTGAATTTTCCTCTTTCAATACATCTACTTTTTATTGTTTTTACTCAAGGGAAATCAAATCAACTCTACTCGTGTAAAATCAAACCAACTCTACCCCATGTCAGACAAGTGGGTCCAGCGTTTTGGTGCAGAATCAAACCAACTCTACTACAGTTGGTTTGGGAATACTGGTTAGGGAGAGATTTGTGTGTCATACGAAGGTGAGTTGTAATCTCATCAACTGGAATTGCTCGCTTACAAGGCTTGCAAACAAGAAGGTGGAATGGAAGAAGGATAGTAAAAGGCTCCATCTTAAGAGTAGTGGAGTTGAAGAGTAGAGAAGATAGCATTTGACCATCATGAATTGAGTTTGCATGTGTAGTCATGTGAGTGGCTATGCTAGTGTGTTGGCATGTGAGTGGACTAGTGGCTATGCTAGTGGCTGGAATTGTGGCTGTGGAAGTGCACGGGGTCCAGCGCCAAGATCACAGAGGGTCACCCCATCAAAACCACCCAAAACATACCCAAACTTCAACATCAAATATCTGGCTCTATATACGTCGCACGAAGCTGTAGTTCTCAGCGTTTGAAGCCTGAAGCAAGGGCTTTCGATGCATCTACTTTTTATTGTTTTTGCTTAAGGATAATCAAATCAATTCTACTCGTGTAGAATCAAATCAATTCTACCCCCTGTTTTGCAAGTGGGTCCACCACTTTGGTGCAGTTTTAAATCAATTCTACTACAATTGAATTGGGAATACTGGTTAGAACCTAATTAGCTTATTAACTCATTTTCTTATTTATACTTATCCTTTTCTTCTTTATTTTCTTTTTATTTTTATCTCTTTCTCAAATCAATATATTTATATTTATATTCTTATTATTCTTTTTTCTTTTTTTCTTACTTAATCATTTTTATATTTTAAATTCTATTTTATAATTTTCTTTATCTTATCTCAATATTATTTCTTTTTTTTTAATCTTCTATTTCTTTTTTTTTAAAATCTTCATTCTTTTTATTCTTCTTTATTCCTATTTTCTTCTTTTTATCTTTTAATATTTCTTTCTACCCTTACATTTCTTTTTTTTTTTTTTTTTTTCTTTTATCTTTCCTTTTTTCTTTTTCAATTTACTATTATATATCCACTCATTTAATCTTCTTATTTTCTTTTTTCTTCTTTTTCTTTATTTTCTTTTTCTTTTTCTGTTTAAATTTTCTTTCTTATTTCTTTCCTATTTCTTTCTTAATATCTTACAATTTCTTTTTCTAAGTGTTAGGAGGAGTATTAAGCTAAATAGGAGATGATGGGAAACTATACCTAGTAATGTTCCTTTTAAAAGGATTATATAAAGTAATAGTGAATTATAATATAGGAGATAAGGAGCTGATAGCTGTTATCTGGTACCTAGAGGAATAGGTACTATACCTAAGTGGCATAGAAGAATCTTTTGATATCCTTATAGACTATTTAAACCTAAGAATATAGGTAACTAAGAAACTTAATAGAAGATAGACCTGATGGGCTAAGTTCCTTGCTTAGTTTAACTTTAAAATATACCATATTAAATAAAAAGAAAATAGAAGAGCAGATATAGTAAGCAGACAGATTAACCATAAAATAGAAGATAAACCTAAGACTCTACCTATCCTTTAAGAACTAGAAGATAGAATCCTTAGAAAGATATTATAAGTATTCCTAGAATATTATACCAGCTACTAAGTAAAGTACTAGAATAATAACTTCTAATATAAGAGAGGTATACTTGATGATAAAGAACTTTTACTGGAAGTAGAAGGAGGAGTAGAAGAAGACTTATTACTTTGGTATTATAGGAAAGCCTATATTAAACCAAAAAGATAAGAAGAGTATATTTATAAAATATATAAAGCCTAAACTAAAGGACATATAGGAATTGTTAAAACATTAGATTAATTATGAAATAGTTATAACTTCCTAAAAGCAAAGAGAATAGTAGAAAAGGTAGTATATAACTATAATGTCTATAATAAGATAAAGAACCAACATACATAATATAGCCTATTAGAACCATTACCTATCCTAAGATAAGAATAGAGTTCTATCTTAATGGATTAGGTATTAGGGATACTTGACTTAAAGGATCTAGTAATAGGTATCAAGTATAACCAGATCTGGGTCATAGTAGATAGACTTATAATATGGGCCTACTTCCTACTAGTAAGAAAAGACATGAAAGTAGAGTAACTTACTTATCTTTTTAAAAGAAACTATATTATAGTATACCTATAGCCTGATAATATAATAATAGATAGAGATAATCTCATTGTCTTTACCTTCTAGTAAGGATTAATGATAAGAATAGGAGTTAAGAGTAAGCTCTTAACTACTTACCACTCATAAATAGATAGATAAATAAAATAACTTAACTAGACCCTTGAAACATATTTAAAAGTATATATTAATTTTAAACAAGATAACTAGTTAGAACTACTATTGATAGTATAAATAGCCTATAATATAATAATGGTAGAGTCTATAAAAGTTTTACTATACTTTACTGTCTATGGATAAGAACCTGAACTCTAAAGAGGACTATCCTATAAGATACCAAGAGTAAGAGTTAGGGCAGATAGAATTTAAGAACTTATAGAGCTCTTAAAAGAAGAACTTGAATATATATGTAAAAGGATAAAGGTCTATTATGATAAACATAGAGTTAAGGGACTAACTCTAGAAGAGGGAGACCATGTCTACCTGTTTTCCAGAAATTTAAAAACAAAACGACCAAGCAGGAAGCTTGACTTCAAAAGGTATAGACTATTCTGAATCAAGAAGAAGGTAGTGACGACAAACTATGAACTAGACCTACCAAAGACTATGAGAATCAGGACCAGAGTCTTCTATGTGTCACTATTGGAACCAGCACCAAAGAACATCCTACTGGAAAAAACCCTTGAAGTAGAAGCAGACGAAGAAGAATTCAAAGTAGAGGAACTTCTGGATTCATGGTTTGAAAAAAGAGTGTTACAGTACCTAGTCAAGTGGCTTGGCTATAGACCTGCAGAAAACTCCTGGGAGCCACACATAGGGCTTTGGTGCCTAGAGTTGGTCGAGGATTTCCATTGCCTAAATCCTGATAAACCAAAAAGGAAAAATGCCCCCAGGAGGAATTGAACCCCTGACCTCTTTGACACTGTACAGGACAACTTGTCGCACGGGACATGCACAAGTTGCCCCATACACAAGAGCGAAGCGCGCTACCACTGCGCCATAGGGATGAGATTATTGAAAATGGCCCGGGTTACGACGACCTATAAAGACCTAACATGCCTAGACACAAGGCATTAGTACATGAATCTCTATTTCTCTTATCTCCATTTTTTCCTTATATTATCAGGAAAGAAAGGGTGTTTACCCAGGGTCAGAGGAGGAACCAGTAATAGGACCCATGTCATTTAAAAGCTTAGGGTCAAGCCAGGAGGCCAGGGAAAACATGGCAGGAACTACTGCTAATAGCATAAATAGCCTATAATATGACAATGGTAGAGTCTATGAAAGTTTTGCTATACTTTGCTGTCTATGGACAAGAACCTGAACTCTAAAGAGGACCATCCTGCAAGGTACCAAGAGCAGGAGTTAGGGTAGATAGAATTTAAGAACTTATAGAGCTCTTGAAAGAAGAACTTAAATATATATGTAAAAGGATAAAGGTCTATTATGATAAACATAGAGTTAAGGGACCAACTCTAGAAGAGGGAGACCATGTCTACCTGTTTTCTAGAAATTTAAAGACAAAATGACTAAGCAGAAAGCTTGACTTCAAAAGGTGTGGACCATTCTGGATCAAGAAGAAAGTAGCAACAACAAACTATGAACTAGACCTACCAAAGACCATGAGGGTCAGGACTAGAGTCTTCCATGTATTGTTACTGGAACCGGCACCAAAGAATGTTCCATTGGAAAAAACCCTGGAAGTGGAAGCAGACAAAGAAGAATGGTCTACCATGATACCATCTTGGAAAGGGTAGTAGAGGCCAAGGCAGACCTAGTCCTGGTCCAGGAGCCATGGTGGGCCCATGGGCGCACCAGACACCTATGAGGCTATGAGCTCTACTAGGCAGAAGGGGAGCCCTCCTCCCTGGTCTATGCCAGGGAGGGGGAGGGCTGGGTCTAGGCCCCTGGGGCGATGGATGGTATGGTTGGGGTTACCAGAGATGGAGGCATGGTGTTTAGGGTCTATAATAGGGACGGCAAGGAGGCTATACCTAGGGTCCTGGAGATCATGGAAAAGAAGGTGATTGTAAGGGGGGACTTCAACCTCAACCATGAAAGCTGGACTAATAAGAAGAAAGGGGGTAGGGGAGGCCCCTGGGCCAGGGCCATAGTGGCATGGGCGGCCAGGAATAGTATAGAGCCCCTGATCAGGAACCAACCCACCCATAATAAGGGTGGGGTCCTGGATCTTGTCTTTAGTAACTAGGTGGGCACCTAGGCAGCTGTCGACCTAGGCTAGTGGTCAGGGTCTGACCACCAGACTATGACCATAATGGTCAGCAAGGCCCTGGACCGCCAGGGTAGAAGGAAGAGGGTGGTCATTGACAAGGATGATATCCCAGAGCTAAGTAGGAGGCTGAAAAGGAGGGCCAAAGGCCTGGCTCAGGCCCCCCTGGCGGGGAGGGAGGCCCTGGAGGAGGCGGTGGCAAGGCTGGACAGTGACACCTGGCAGGTGCTAAAGGAGGTGGGCTGTAAGGCAGAGAGGAACCCCAAGAGGGCAGCCTGGTGGAACAAGGACTGCTAGGCTAGCAAGAGCTTCCTGGTAGCAGATGGTAGTGAACTAGGAAAGCTGACCTACCATAACACACTAAACCGGGCCCGTAAGAAGTACTACAAGGCCAAGGTCAGGGATACCAACGCCAGTACTATCTAGAAGATCATAAAGTAGGGAGGGGAGCTAGACCCATGTGCCATCCCACCCCTCATGCCCAAGGAGGGTGGGGCTCTGGCAACTACCCTAGAGGATAAGATGAGTCTTATCTTTAAGGAGCTGGTTGCTCCTGAGGGGGGGGAGGACCTGACAGGCTTCTAGAGGTCCTTAGTAGCCACCCTGCCCTGGGAGGCATCCGCTTCTATGGCAGAAGTCACTGAGGCCTTTGTTGGGCCCTGGGTAGGCACTATGGCGCCGGGGGAAGATGATGTGACCATGGCTATGATCAGGGAAGCCTGGTAGGACTGCATGACCACAGGAGGCAAGGAGGAGAAGGTCCCCTTGGCCCTGGCGAAGGCAGTCCAAGCAATCTATGATGGCTGCCTCAGGGAGGGCTATTACCTAAGGGCCTAGAGGAGGGCCAAGGTGGTCCTATTAGTCAAGCCAGGGAAGAAGGCCAACTCTATAAAGTCTCTCCAGCCCATCGCTCTCATCCTGGCCTATGGGCAGGGGCTGGAGTGGGTGGTAGCCAGGAAGGTCTCTAGGGTTGTACTGGAAAAAGGGGTGCTCCTGCCAGAGTAGTGCGGGGGCATCCCAGGGAGGTCAGTAATGGACTTACTTGCCAGCCTGGTTCATGATGTAGAGGGTATTAATAGAAGGGGGAGGGTAGCTGGGGTCCTCACTAGGGATGTTGCAGGGGCCTTTAATGTGGTGCTGCCATGGAGGCTTGACAAGCGGCTCTATGACTAAGGCTGGCCATCCCAGATGGTCAACCTTATACAGAGCTTCCTGGCCAACAGGAGGGCAACGCTCCAGGCTGACGGAGTTGAATGTAGGACAGGAGGAGGGCTGCTGCAAGGCTCACTACTCTCCCTAGTCCTCTTCAGCCTCTACCTGGAGCCCCTTATTAAGGCAGGCCCTGGGAGGTCCCTATACACCGAAGACATACTTGTGCTGGTGGAGGGGGTCTTAACCTTGGCTATATGTACCAAACTGACAGCCGAGCTGAGGGCCCTTGAGGCCTAGGCAAGGGTGAACCATGTCCCCTTTGACAAGGCCAAGTATAAGTATGCTCTCTTCATAGGAAAGGGCAAGGACCCCTTGGTAGCCGGCCCTAACCTCCTGGCAGGAAGGGCACAAGCACTATATAACCCCTAGCTAAAGTGGCTAGGCGTCTACCTGGACCATAAGCTAACCTTTAGGGCCCACTATAAGGCGGCAGCCAGGAAAGGGGCCAGGGTAGTGGGGCTCCTATGTAGGATCAGGGGCTATGCCAAAGGGCTCCCACTAGACCTTATAGTCAGGGCGGTCAATGTGGTTGTCCTTCTAAGGATGTTGTATGGATCAGAGGCATGGTGGTCAGGCCTGTAAGGGTTTGGCCAGGCTGGTGGAGTGGAGTGGCTTGACCTGGTTCTATGAAGGGCCCTGAGGGCTGCCCTCCCGGGCTGGTACATGACGCCCACCCCGGTCCTACATGCTAAGTCCAGGGTCCCCCTGATGAACATCCTTCTAGAGGAGAAAAGGCAGGGTTATGCAAGGAGGGTCCTTAACATCCTTGCTAGTGAGAACTGGGAGCAGCACCCTATGGCCAGGAGGCTTAAGGTGGTACCAGGAAGAGGGATAAGGGCCGACAGGACAGAGTCTACTAGGCTGGAAGTGATGGCATGGGATGAAGGGTGGGCCCCTCCGAAGCCAGAGAGGGCCAAGGTGCTGCCTGGGGCCTGAAGGCCCTATGGCACTGCCTGTGACAGGTGCTATAAGGTACCGGCTAAGTGTGTGGGGGAGCTGCCCTGTGAGTGTTGTGTGAGGAGGGGCGAGGAGTGTGTCTGGGTGGAGCGGAAGAAGTACCTAGTCGGCCACAATGATCCAGAGCCTGGGCAACCGGGCCTTTGGAACCAGGCCACTGCCAGTCAAGAGTGGTAGGAAGCCAATTGACCAGGGAACTATGCCTACTGGAAGATCAACTTCACTTGGAAGCCCTTGCCGGAGCTTAGGCTCCTGTGTAAGGCTCTGGTGTTCCTCCTTGCGGAAAGGACTGGCCATGGGGACTATAGGTCTTACCATGAAAGGTTTAAGCATGACCTAGAGACCTGGAAGCCCTGTGCCTGTGGCTTATATAAGGAGCCGGGGTATGTCTTTAAGTGCCTGCTGAACTTCTGGGCCCTCTTGGCTGATGGAAAAGGGTCTCTGTTGTGTTATATGTGGCGTAATAAGAAGATGCTTGTATTCTTCAAAGAGTTCTGGAGCAAGCTTGCCCCTGGAAGAAAATACAGGGGCATACTGGGAGAAGAAAATATCCTGTAGATTGTAGAAGAAGAAGCCTGGGTGTAGGTATATTAGGAAGGAGAAGGCTAGGCCTAAGGGCCGGGCCAAGGTTGATCAAAGGAGGCTTTTCTCTTTGGAGTTTTTATGTACCTTAGCTGGGGGTGAGATGGAAGAATAGGTAGGACCTTTAATTGGTAATAGGGGTATGTCTTAGGCTAGGTTTCCTTTAAGGGGTAGTGGATCTCCTAGGTTTGAGTTAGTGAGTAGTTGGGGGGGCCTTTGGCCCCCCTATGTCCTAGTTGCCTATGGTGAGAACCCAGGATGTTAAACCAAATCAATTAATTAGACAAAGAAGAATTCAAAGTGGAGGAACTTCTGGATTTATGGTTTGAGAAAAGAGGGTTGTGGTACCTAGTCAAGTGGCTTGGCTATGGACCTGTAGATAACTCTTGGGAGCCATATATAGAACTCTTATGCCTAGAGTTAGTTGAGGACTTCTATTACCTAAATCCTAACAAGCCAAAAAAGAAGAGTGCCCTTAGGAGGAATTGAACCCCTGACCTCTTTGATACTAAACTAGATAACTTGCTGTATGGACTATATATAAGTTGCCTGATTCATAAGAGTAAAGCATACTGCCACTGTACTATAAGGGTGAGATTATTAAAAGTGGCCTGGGTTGTAATGACCTATGAAGACCTGACATGCCTAGACATAAGGTAACTTCTAATATAAGAGAGGTATACTTAATGATAAAGAACTTCTACTGGAAGTAGAAGGAGGAGTAGAAGAAGACTTACTACTTTGGTACCATAGGAAAGCCTATGTTAAACCAAAATGATAAGAAGAGTATATTTATAAAATATATAAAGCCTAAACTAAAGGATATATAGGAATTGCCAAAACATTAGATTAGTTATGAAACAGTTATAACTTCCTAAAAGCAAAGAGAATAGTAGAAAAGGTAGTATATAACTATAATGTCTATAATAAGACAAAGAACCAAAAACATATATAGTATAGCCTACTAGAACCATTACCTTTCCTAAGATAAAAATAGAGTTCTATCTTAATGGATTAGGTATCAGGGATACCTGACTTAAAGGATCTAATAATAGGTATTAAGTATAACCAGATCTAGATTATAGTAGATAGACTTATAAAGTGGGCCTACTTCCTACCAGTAAGAAAGGACATGAAAGTAGAGTAACTTACTTACCTTTTTAAAAGAAACTATATTATAGTATATCTGTGGCCTGACAATATAGTAACAGATAGAGACAAGCTGATTGTCTCTACCTTCTAGTAAGGACTAATAATAAGAATGGCAATCAAGAGCAAGCTCTTAACTACCTACCATTCATAAATAGATAGACAAATAGAATAACTTAACTAAACCCTTAAAACATATTTAAAAGCATATGTTAATTTTAAATAAGATAACTGGCTGGAACTACTGCTGATAGTATAATTAGCCTATAATATGATAATGGTAGAGTCTATGAAAGTTTTGCTATACTTTGCTGTCTATAGACAAGAACCTGAACTCTAAAGAGGACCACTCTGTAAGGTACCAAGAGTAGGAGTCAGGGTAGATAGAATTTAAGAACTTATAGAGCTCTTGAAAGAAGAACTTGAATATGTATATGAAAGGATGAAGGTCTATTATGATAAATATAGAGTTAAGGGACTAACTCTAGAAGAGGGAGACCATGTCTACCTGTTTTCTAGAAATTTGAAGATAAAATGACTAAGCAGGAAGCTTAACTTTAAAAGGTATAGACCATTCTAGATCAAGAAGAAAGTAGTAATGACAAACTATGAACTAGACCTACTAGAGACCATGAGGGTCAGGACCAGAGTCTTCTATGTATTACTACTAGAACTGGTACCAAAGAATATTCTATTGGAAAAAACCCTGGAAGTGGAAGCAGACAAAGAAGAATTTAAAGTGGAGGAAATTCTGGATTCATGGTTTGAGAAAAGAGTGTTGCAGTACCTAGTCAAGTGGCTTGGCTATGGACCTATAGATAACTCTTGGGAGCCACACACAGGACTCTTATGCCTAGAGTTAGTTGAGGACTTCTACTGCCTAAATCCTGATAAGCCAAAAAAGAAGAGTGCCCCCAGGAGGAATTAAACCCCTGACCTCTTTGACACTAAACCAGACAACTTGCCGCATGGACTATGTATAAGTTACCTGATCCATAAGAGTGAAGTGTACTACCACTACACCATAAGGGTGAGATTGTTGAAAGTGGCCTGGGTTATGATGACCTATGAAGACCTGATATGCCTAGACGCAAGGCATTAGTATATGAATTTCTATCTTTCCTTATACTATCAGGAAAGTAAGGGTGTTTACCTATGGTCAGAGGAGGAACTGGTTAGAAGACCCATATTATTTAGAAGTTCTGGATTGAGCCAGGAAGCCAGAGAGAAGTCTAGAGTAGGAGAAGAAGTGTCTATGTAACTTTAAGTGATCTGTATGATCTATGAAATAGGTCATGGTAGATGACTCTATATCTGACTATAACCTATGCAATACCTACCAAGCCTTCTAATCTATCCTAGGCTACCCAGTTACCTTCTCCTTAGCTATAATAGGTATTAGTGAACCTAATACTAGGCTGGCATATATTATAATAGAGGATTCTGATTACTTATAGGGGTTCCTGCTAGCTTTTATAACATATCTACAACATATATTGCCAGAAGCTGCTAAGAAAGATGGTACCATCACTAGGTTTATTTAGGTTTATATAATCTATCAATCTACCTATAATATGCAAGGTTCTGCCTGTGGGTAATCTATACCTTGGCCTGCTTGGCGCTTTGGATCTGCTCTAGGCAGCCAGGGATAGGTGTGGGCTGTGCTGTGATTATGATCTGGCTTATGTCCTTTGTGACCTTGATGCCGGCTACCATCTGATTCCATTCCATCCCCTACGGCACCGCCTTGGCCGCCTCAAAAGGCTTAAAGCAGAATAGGACCTGCTCTCCTGTCTTTGCCACTAACTGTAGGGACCTATTGCTATCTGGGTAGGGAAGGGTGCTATGCTGCTTGAAAAAGCAGTATACCAAGATCTCCTGGAGATGGGCCAGGGTTGTATGCTTGTAGCTGGTCTGGTTAAGGTAGTTGGCGGCTATGTGGAAGAGTGTTTGAAAGGGTAGCTTCTCTATGTGTTTCTAGCTAAGTGGGACATTGATCTTCTCCTATGTCTATGTAAAGAAGAGTAGCCTATCCTTTAGGGCAGTCTTGTTCCCTAAGCATAGCTTTACCATCCTCCCTACCTTATGGGCAAGGAGGGTTAGCCTCTCATAGGTGAAGAGGGCACTGCTGGGCTGGGGGGTATGTACCCTTCCTTGCCCTGCCTTGTTACTGCTAAGTATCTTTGTGAGGGCTGTCTATTAGTACTGTTGTAGCATGAGGTGTATGTACTTCTTGAGGATGAACTTATAGATGTCATGCTTGCTATCTACATGGATAATCTCTATTAGTTGGTCTAGGAAGGACTAGACCTCTTAGAATGAAGCAGTTTCCTGGAACCTCCTGATGGCATGGAAGTGGGGTATTGTGAGCCTGTTGCTATACTCCTGGGCCATCTTGAGGTTGATCCAGTTGATGGTACCAGGGCTCCAGAAGCTAAAGCCATACCTCTCCATTGTCCCCTGTAGGCCAAAGCCAGGCTTCCTATCCCTGTTATTGGGCCAGTGTAATGGGCTATTGAGGATCCAGGCCTTGTTAGGTAGGAGGTGGGAGATGAGGTGGCGGATGGTGAGGCTGAGTAAGGTGTGGAGCTGGGCTGTTGCCATGGGGGTGTTGACTTGGTGGCCATAGAGGGCCTGGATGGTATCTATTGCTATGAGGTGTTTATGGATGTTCCCCTGTATAAAGTCCTTGAACTTGTTGGTCCTATGGATGAAGAAGGTGGAGGAGGAAAGTATAAGGTTGTTAATGTTAGCCAATACCGGCTGGGATAGGATGAGTTTAACTCTCTATTATGAGGTCTGAAGCTCTGTCTTCCTATAGAACTCTGTTAGGAAGGTGGCCCAGCTCTCCTCCTCTTAGCAGATAGCCTGTGCTAGGCGGAGGGTGATGTGAAACTCAGTGCACTAGCTGTAGTATCAGGCCTTTATATTCTCTGTTATATGCTTGACCTGGACCTGTGACTGGATATTGGCTAGCTCTATGGCGGCCTAGCTATCCTGGGTCTGTTGGATTGTGTTGAGGCTTTTGTAGTTGGCTTTGCTGTATCCTAAGTTAGTGATGCTGGGGTGGGTGAAGGGGTAGATCTGCTATGTGTTAAAGAGCTCCTTGAAAGGCAAGTAGGTCTATATATAGAGGAGCCTATCCCTGGTATGTAGGTGGTTGGGCTTTGGCTTAGTAGTAAGTATTATGGTATCTTGTAGGAGGGTGATGGGATACTTGGTCATGTTGGCCCTCTATATGGCAGGTGGTTGGAATCTGGTAGCCGGGGCTGGCATGTGCCTATAGAGGACTCTATACCTTCCTTATGCCTCCCCTGGTCCTTATGCTCCTCCTGCTCCTCCTGCTCCTCCTACTCCTCCTGCTCTCCCTTCTGCCCCTCCTCCTCTCGCTTTGCCCCTCCTGCCCCCTCTCTGCCTGGCCTGGTCTGTTAGGGTCTTACTTATACTATCCAAGGATGAAACCGGCTGTATTGTGTATATAGTAGTACCTTGCCAGGAGGGTTTGACCTTTGGGGAAGTGCCTATTAGAGACTAGTAAGATCTCTGATGTGAGATCAATGTATTACCGGCTACTATTGTTGACAGACTGGACCTTCGTAAAGAGCTTTGGACTACTTGGCCTAGAAGTCATTAATCTAGGCTAAGATGACCCTTTGCCTCTGGGTCTTAAGCTTTAGCCCCTTGCTGTTATAGAGGAAGAAGAGGTTGCTGAATAAGTATATATCAAAGTTGAAATCTAGGCTTAGATCTATCATTTCCTCCTTAAAGAGGATAGTGGTCATCTTGTTCTAGATGTGGGTATCTTTGTATGGGGTAATGGTGATGCTGATTAGGTGCCCTCTAGTACCCCCTACTATAGTGGTCTTCTCTAGGGTTGCCCTTGACCTAAGCTGGG